CTCAGTACACCCAAAATAGCAAAACGGGAGCGGAGCATTTTGTGGGGCTACACCGGCGCCGCAGGGTCAGACGGGCCCGGGGGCCTGTAAAGACAGGTGCGGGCGGCCTACCTGCTCTCGTCATCCCCTGCTGAGCTGAGGAGAGGCTCCTGCCCTTCGGCAGCAAGGGCGGCATCGGCAGTGACCACGGCCATGTCTGGTACCCAACACAAGCTCCTATCGCGGCCGCCGGCACCAGGCAGGCGCGGGGAAGGGGGAGGAGCTGGAGCTGGAGCCTCCCCGCCCATGACGTCAGCTGTTGTTGTTCCCGCCGCTGCTGGCCGGCGGTGTCGCTCCAGAGCTGGCTATCCAGAGCCGCCCTCCCGCGCGCCTGACTGTCGCGCATGCGCCCGCGCTCCCTTTCCGTTAATGCTGGCGGTCGGGCTGGCGTCACGTGGGACGGCAGGATGCTAGAGAAAGGCGGGGCGCCAGTCACGTGTGAGTTTTGATGGTAGCCGCTAGTTTTCTCTCCGGTCCGCTTCATCAACTGAGCGGCGGAAGGGGCTGGCCGTGTGGCAGTACCGCCCCAGTAGCGACCTTCAGCCCTCCCCGCTTCACACCCCTGAGAGCGGTTGTCCCTTCCCCCATGTGCGGCAGCTCTAGCTGGAGGCGGCGGCAGCAGCAGCAGCAGCAGCGGGGAGCCCCCTGCCCGGCTCAGTGAGTGACCCCGGGAAAGTGTCGGGCGGTGGGAGTCTCTGGCCGGTCTCAGGGCCGGGGGCTCTCCGGCCGCAGGCGGGGACTTGCTGCCCGACGCGCCTCCATGCGGGACCTGGGTCGGGACGGCGTCGCGATCGTTTGGTGCTGGGGACGCGATTCGAAGGAGAAGGGCCGTTTCCGCCTGCGGTCAGTAACTCGTCGCCTCCAGCCTAAGGGCGCGGGAAGCCGGGCTCGCCCCGCCATCCTCTCCCTGCGGGTGCCCGGCCCGCCGCCCTTCCTGCTCCTTGGCAGGAGAGCGCTTGCCCTGCCCTGGCCAGCTGGTGCCCAGTGTCTGCGCTTCCCTCCGGGTCTCCGTATCAGCAGATGCCCAATGGTGCTGAAACAATTTTATAGTGGGGCTCTGAAGGAGGAAACCGTGTATTTGGTTGTTATTACTACTTCAGGCTAGGGGGGTCAGGAGCACCCCGAGTTCCAGCAGCTGGCTATGGCCATGCCCCCACCCTGATGCAGTCGGGACTGCTGTTTTAAGACATGTCCGTGTGTGTCTGTTTATCGATCTTGTCACTGCTCGCTCACCTGCCCCGCTCCAGAAAACCTCTGTAAAACTAATCCAGTCTTATCACCGCTTTGGTTTCATTTCTCCAAACCTGGAGTGGAAGGTAACAGGGCAGTTGATGTTCTCCCCTTGCTCTGTGTAACCCATACCCTAAAACAGTTATTCAGAAAAATATTGTGGCTTCTACTTGTCATCCACTTGTAGATTACAGCTTGTATTGTATCTGGTACAACTACTTGGTTGGTGTTTTCTCTTTATAATTTACTATGTTAAATTTATGCTTCACTTTTGAAAGTGTCTGCTTTTTCTCCAGTTGCTCTGTTTGTTTTTTGTACTTTGAACAAGTAAATGTTAGACTGAACTAGTGATCAACAGATATAAATCAAGACCAACAAGTAAAACAAGAATCCATACATAATATCATCAGGACTACATGATGATGCTGATGAATTATGTAGTACTTTTTGTTGAGGATCTTGATGTGACAGGTTACATCACAGAAACCCCCTGGGGAACTGCCAACTGATGTGCCAAGACTACTTTTGCCCCTGCTTTCCCTGCCAGCTTGGGAATCCAGCACCCTGTCTTGCTGAGCTAGACGGGCCAATCTGCTCCAACACAGACCCAAGGTCTCAACCACGTGCCCCAAAGCTGCAGACTTAACTGAAAGCAACTTACAGAAGTGTTCCTGTCTTTAACACTCAGATGGTCAACTCCCAATGGGGTCCAAACTCCAAATAAATCAATTTTACACTGTATAAAGCTTATACAGGGTAAACTCATAACTTGTTTGCCCTCTATAGCACTGATAAGCACAGCTGTTTGCCCCCCCTCAGGCATTAATATATACTCAGGGTTAATTATTAAGTAAAAAGTGATTTTATTAAATACAGAAAGTAGGATTTAAGTGGTTCCAAGTAATAACAGACAGAACAAAGTGAATTACCAAGTAAAATAAAATAAAACATGCAAATCTAAGTCTAATACAGTAATAAAACTGAATACAGATTAAAATCTCATCCTCACAGATGTTTCAATAAGTTTCTTTCACAAACTGGACACCTTCCTAGTCGGGACACAATCCTTTCCCATGGTACAGCCCTTGGTCCAGCTCAGGTGGTAGCTAGGGGATTTCTCATGATGGCTGCCTCCTTTTCTCTGTTTCACCCACTTATATATCTTTTGCATAAGGCGGGAATCCTTTGTCACTCTGAGTCCCTTTTCTCAATGGAAAAGCACCAGGTTAAAGATGGATTCCAGTTCAGGTGACATGATCACATGTCACTGTAAGACTTCATTACCCACTTGCCAGCACACATGTATACAGGAAGACTCACAAGTAAAACAGAACCATCTACAGACAATTGTCCTGGTTAATGGGAGCCATCAAGATTCCAAACCACCATTAATGGCCCACACTTCGCATAATTACAATAAGCCCTCAAAGTTATATTTTATATTTCTAGTTTCAGATACAAGAGTGATACATTTATACAAATACGATGACCACACGCAGTAGATTATAAGCTTTGTAATGATACCTTACAAGAGACCTTTTGCATGAAGCATATTTTAGTTGCATTATATTCACACTCATCAGCATACTTTCATAAAATCTTAGAGTGCAATGTCACACTTGGTTTCTCCACAAATATTTCAGTTATGCTGAAAATATAGTTCTCAAATTAACAAAAAATAATCCTGGTGGTCTCGCTGTGATCTTTATGCTCCCAAGTCTTGTACTGGAAAAGATAAATGTATCAAGTCACTTCGATATGAAGGAATATTTTTATCATGATCTTGAATGATGGGTATTCTGTGCTAGTGCATTGAAAATAGGTATAATTTCTCAGCCGGATCAGTTTAGTTTGTTGGCAAGAGTTGTCTGACTCTCTGGCACAGAAAATATATTGCCATTATTAATAAGCCTTTATAGTTTACGGTGGAGTTGATCATGTAATTAGGGCTGTGTATAAGTGTATATGGAGAGAGTACACATGTACACTAGCAGAGATGTATAGATAGTATTCAATATATGAATTCAAAGCGATAAAGCCCTTGCTCCATACGAAGGACTCTAACAGTTTTATTAGGGTAAGTTTTAAGTTTCACTGCCTCTTTCCCCTGTCTTTGTTTATGGAATATTACATTTCAGTCATAGTTTTTAAAAATTCTCATAGTTTTGTAGCAGTGCCATTTTTTTTAAACCCTGGCCTACATTTCACCATCCCTCGAAAAAATTGCTTACTTTCTCATTTTTACCATACAACTATAAAATAAATCAATTGGAATATAAATATTGTACTTCTTTTCAGTGTATAGTATATAGAGCAGTATAATCAAGTCATTGTCTGTATGGGCTCGGACTTTTACTTCAGCCCCAAGCCCCAGCAAGTCTATTGCCAGCCCAGGCGATCCCATTAAAATGGGGTCACGAACCACTTTGTCATCCTGACCCACAGTTTACCCACAGCAGAGTAGTGTTGTGCTGCCGGAGACTTCCCTTGCCATGGAGAAAGGCTGGCAGCGGGGTGAGGTTCTTTTAGGGGGGAGGAAGCAGGGGAAGGCTCTAGCAGCTCCCTGCTTTCTTCTCCCTGCTATAATCTTTCACTGACATATGTAGCTGCACACTGCAATGTGGGTGTAGCTTGCTTTTCACTGCAGCATATAGCTACCCTATGTGCCACCGATGCTGGTGTGCAGTGTAGATGTAGCCAAAGTCTGATTTGTAACGCAGGCCGAAACACCTCACCCAGTAATTTCTGCACAAGCCCACAACTTCTGTTTGACCTATAGTGCATATTTTTAGAAAAATATCTACTCCTGAGTTAGACTTCACATGATGGAGAATCCACTACATCTCTAGGCATGTTGTTCCAAATGCTACTTGCCTATTAAAATTTGCAACTAATTTCTAGTATGAGTTTGGCTAACTTTGGCTTCCAGCCACTGGATCTCTTTTTCGCTTTTTCCGCTTGATTATATGAGCCCTATATGATCATAAATCTCTTCCCCATGTAGGTATTTATAGACTATGATCAAATCATCTCTTAACCTTCTCTTTGTTAAAATAAATAGGTTCTTGAGATAAATATAGCTTCTTAAGTATTTCAGTGCAAGTCATGCTTTCCAGGCTCTGAATCATTCTTGTAGCCTTTTCTGAAACCTTTCCAGGGGAGCGGGGCTCTTACTCCATTTTCAGTCCTCTTTATTTCAAATGGTCCTGAGCTGCTGGGCAGTCCTAATGTGAATCAGTGCAGTTGATTGAATATATTGAATTGTCTCATCCTGTGTCCTAGCATCCCTTTTAACATGCTCCAGTTGTCTAGCAATGTGTTTTGGGGTTGATGTAATATCAGCTTATTATCTTAAAATCACTTATACTCATGATCTAATTTCTGTTATCCTGGCCAACCTCAGATCTGTTCAAAGTACATCTCATTTACTGATTGCTAGTAGCTAAACTGAACCAAAAGCCCTTCTGATGAATGAGCTTCTAATTGGTGATATGTAACTAGCGGGACATGACTCCATTTTGGAAACTTTTTTTTTTAAACTCGATTGAAATCCATATTGCTAGGTGGCCCATTAACAGAAATGGAGTAATAGCTTGTGTAGCTATCAGACTTTTTTTTAATAATTTGTCTGGGAGATGAGCAGAATAGACAGGCAGTAATGCTTAGAGTAGTTCAGAAATCAGGTGAATAAAATGAATAAACAGGGTAACAAAACACATTAGCAAAGGAGGAAAGACAATTGAGATCAGTAAAATATTAACTAGTGAGTCATTAAAGATCAGCACTGAACGGCAGCCAAGAACAGTAGCTAGAACCAAAGCAACAATTTTCAAGGTTTCTCGGTAAGTAAGGAAGCAAAATTTGTTTTGCAAGGGATGTTTGTTTTTGGGGTGATTCTAACCTTGGCAGTGGTGCCTTTTCCTTTCATTTTATATGGAGAGCAATATTGCCATAGTTGCAGCAGAGTTATAGTTTTCTTTTCTGAACAAGAAAGGTTCTGAAAGCAATTGTACTGGTATACCAAAGTGTTTCTGATCTTGGCATGTTGCAAGATATCTCTCTTTAAAATCATGTTGTTCTGATGGTCCTCACATACACGTTTCAGTACCAACGTGACTGATGTCATGTCTCAGATTATTTTATATGACTTAAGCTTTT